TTGATGATGCAAAAGGCCATCCGAGGTTGGATGACCATCTGTCATGGATGCTTTAGCTGAGATTCCTGCATTGCAGTGGGTTGGACTAGATGACCCTCAGGGTCCCTTTCAACTCTACAATTCTACCATTCTATGACTTTCCACCCCCTTGCATGCCTATTCCATTCTATTAGGTTTTCTCTCCTGCACTTTTATTTACGCTTCTGTGGTGTTACAGGAGGGGTATTGTGGGAAGATTCAGTATCAAGCACGTCCAGTTCAGCACTTAATGTAAAACAAGGCGATTGTCTACATGGTTTGTTGATTAGCGTGTAATTTGCTTCGAGGGCTGAATCCGCTCCGTGTTGTGTGTGTGTGTAACAGGAGCCTTTCTGCAGTTGCCTGTGGTTCCTGCTCGCACCCCTTGCCGAGGCAGCCCTCAGGTATAGGGCAAACACTGCAGGCTCCTTATTTAAGCTTGTTAAAATGTTGTGTGTTTTTCCCAGGCTTACCGAGTCGGGGAGGCAGCTGCAGTGAGTCAGTGTCTCTCTCCACGCTGCGCATTTTATCAGCATCATCTCCGCTTCATCCCAAGTATCTTGGGGAATCATCATAACTTATTCCAGAGTCAGGATACTGAATCTGTTCAATTTCGGCAACATTGCTGCATTCATAACCTTGTCATTATCCAGGAGATGATAACCTAAGGCAGAGTTGTTCATTTTTTAAGTCATTGAGCAATGTCCTGCTTACCATACCCTTCGCTTCCAGAAATATCAGGCACAGAGAAATCGTTCCCTCTCCCAGAATCACCTTTGAAATTCTCTGCTTTGAGGAGGTAGTGGTACTGAATTCTCACCTGCAACACCTCCGAATTGGATCACAATTAAAAGGGAGGGAAGGGAGGACACCCCAGGCCTGTTACAAAATTCTTAAGAGTCACAACACATCAGCATATTCAAAAGCAGGGTCCACGAGGCAGACGGAGGAAGCCGCTTCAGACGGCAGAATCCAAGGGGCACTTTTCGGGCCTCCCCCTGCCCCGCCACCACCAAAGAAGAGATGGGAAACTGCTGTGGTGGCTTCCAGGTTCTGGAGAGATCTTGCAAGAGCCCTGCAAGATTGTGCAGAGGCCCACATTATCACCTCACTTACCAGGATCTCAAGGGTGGCCTCTGTGGGGTCTTGTAAGACGTCACCAAAACCCAGAAGCCAAAGTCATGTGACCTCAGTAAGTGAGGCTTTGGCGGGGGGCGGGGGCAAGAGGGGTGGATGGCAGGCATGCCAGCCCCTTCCTGTTTTGTCTCAGATGACAAAATAGGACGCGGTGCCCCTGTTTGAAAGATGCCATCCTTCAGAGATTAGACGTAGAGCGTCTTAAGGTGTTTTTTTAAAAAATACATATGAACCGAAAGCTTAAAACCAGCCCGCCAATCTCCACGCTCCGTTTACGACATTGCTGTGTTTTAATGAACTTTGTAGATTAGATCCGTGTTGTAGAATTGTGCATTTGAAAAGCGGTCAGCCAGGCTCATTAATATGTTCTGTGCACAGAGTGCATTGGAGAAGCGGAGCGCCTTCTGGGCTGACTTTGATAGCAAGCTTGGACTTCAGTCAAGATCTAAAACTGTTAGCAATCTCTCTAATGCTGCTTCAAATTCCGAACCAGCCAAAGCCTCCCCCCGCTTTAATAAAATAAGTAGGAACAAATTCACGACGACGCTGCCGCGACTTCAACATTTCAAGTATTATTTGGATACAAAATCCCTCTGAAAGATATAGGTCTTCTTGAATTTATTTTTATTTTGTTTTAAATGGACAAAGCAGTTTGAATTCCCCCACCAGCATGAATTATGACAGTGCAAGCACATCTGCTTGGAAGTAAACCCCACTGTGGGGCTTACTCCCTAGCAAGTGAGTTTAGGACTACAGCAGAGGCACCATCTTCTGAAGAACATTGAGGGAGCCTGACACGATGCTTGACATTGCGCTGGCGACATCGCATGGCGTCCTGACGTCACTTGTGCAACATTGTACAATGTCCTGATGTCGCCCGTGCAAGGCTCCGCATTTGGCCTCAACAATGGGGGAGGGGTGGCCCCCTCAAAAAAAGAAAAGAAAAAAAAGAGAGCTTTGGTCCCCTGCAGCCAGCACCTATGGACTGCAGCCTCCAACTTCCATTTTCCAGTACTACTGCTCCTCAAGGACTCATAGCTGTCAACCGTCCCTTATTTGGTGGGAAAGTCCCTTATCCCAGCGCTGTGTCCCGCTGCTGTCCCTTATTGATGATGTCCCTTAAATTTCCCGGGTTTCAAAGGAAGCAGCTCCTCTCCCTCCCTCGCTGCCGGCCAGGGAGGAGGGAGGCTCCAACTGTGTTGCTTGGCTGCATTGCTCACCCAATAAAGAGTCTAAGAACGACTGGGGGGTGGAGCTTGCATGCCTTGTGCCGATCAAATCAGCCGCGTTGCCTGGGGACTCGCCTTTGCTCAGCGCTTCCCAGCGGAGAGGTGACGGTGGTTTCCCTTGCTGCATCCCCTTTGATGGGTTGCTGCGCTGTGGGAACCACCGCTTGAGGCTTCGTTTGGCTGCTGGCTGGGCTTTCTGCCTTTGGCTCAGAGGGGCTCAGAAGTTGAACATACCTGTGCTGGGAAAATCTCTTATTTTGGCTGCTGATCCCTTATTTTCGAGGCTGCTGGTCCCTTATTTTCAAATCTGTAAGTTGACAGCTATGCAAGGACTCCAACCACCTTGGAAAGTGGGAGAGGCTTCCTTGCATCTTCCCAAGTCCTTTAGCTCTTCGGGAGAGGGCTAAAGATTGCACAACTAATCTTCAGTTGCTTGAGCTCTGGTGCTTCTTGATCACCTGAGCATGGGAGCACATTGCACACAATGTGTTCAATTTCTACACTGTTTCAACCAAGAACGACCCAGCTTTTTAAAAACACGCCTTTGATTAATCATGCGAGTTTTTCTGGCTCAGTTTTGTGTTATTTTTGTGCCACTCAAATATGTGAAATGGTTGTTGTTATGAGTTTGAAATATATATTGTGGGGGGAGTAAAAAAAGGAAGAGAAAGAGGGTTGTGTTTGTTTTCTTCTGCTGTAATGACTGCTTGTTAGTCAGCTTTTGTCTCTTTGGGGAAATAGGTGGGATGCAAATACTTTTTGAAAAACAAAAACCACGTTATTTCATGCAGTGCCTGTTACTTTTGTGCATTTTTCCTGTCTTTCCCACCGCAGCGCCCTATTTTATTTGTGTTCCCAGTTGATTTATATGTCCAAAGTACACCTAGACCAAGGAGGACAAATAGTCAGAAGTTTAATTATTGATTGACAAAAATCATGAACTTACAGTAGTTCCTGAGGTGCACTAAACACACACATTTGGGAGCTGGGCAGCTGACGCCCTCCACATAAGAATTCACCCAGCAGCGAAAATAACATAAAATTGCATTCTGTGGGGGGGATTGCTTGCAAAAATCCATCCACTAGGAAAATTGCGATTGCAAAATTGCAGATATGTGCATGAAAATGCGTGCAGATGGCTTGGTTTTCTTTAATGCAGAAGTGGCACTAACTGAATGTAAGACTGAGAAAATGAGAAACCGAGACAAATGGAAATCGACAGATTTTTCCATTCCCAATCTTCACATGGAAACGGAGCGGTTTCCTGCAGATTAGGACAGTTTAAATCTTATCAAAACGAACATGGTTTACTGGAGAAACGCCGGCTCCCTCGGCCAGTAAAGCGAGATGAGCACCGCAACCCCAGAGTCGTTTGCGACTGGACTTAACGGTCAGGGGTCCTTTACCTTTACCTTTAGACATGAATAGGATTTTGCTGGAAAGAAACTAGCACACAAAAACATACTCACAATCTTCCTCCAAAAAGGCATATGTGGGGTCGGTTGTTAGCTTAGCAGGCAGTTTGTTTCTTGTGGGGATGGGAAGCAGTCCACTACACCTGCGCTCTGGTTGCAGAAGTCGCTGTGGCCAAGATCCATGGTTTCCTAGGTTACAGACATAACATCAGCTTGCAGAGTTGAGAAATATAGCTGGGGCCCTTTTGAGAAGAGAGTCTACTGAATACACAGACAAATTAGGTCAGGCACCCACTTTGAACAGGGACTAGCTCTATAGCATAATTAACGTAAAGTTTAATCTAGCCCAGAAAATGACAGACCTGCTTTCTGTGATAGGAATTTTATGGTCTTAGATATATGGTAATGTTCATAAGTGTACCAACCAAGCACATACATAGATCAGCACAGGAAGGCCAACCTGGAACCATTTTGATTCCTAAACTGAGCAAATGTTTTCTCTGCAAGGTCAAAGTGGAAAAGCCTCCCCATTGTCTTTTCCTTCACAAATCCTGTCTTAAGGGTATGTCTGTGTTTGAATAAGGTATGAGCCTGTGACATGGCCCAGGAACTAAGTATTTATCATTACAAAAGACTGGCCAGGCTACCCAGGAAATCCAATCAAGTAACCTGCCAGACAGGAGATAAACAACAACAGGAGAAAAACAATATTAAAATTTCTGTTTTAGACCGCCTTTTCTGTGATGTAGGTGTGATGTATCTGAGGGGTGGTCTTAGGTTACACCCCTTCTGTGATGTATGTATGATGTTTCTGGGGGTGGTCTTGATCTACAGGGTGGCAATTTCAAAAGTCTTTATAAGGCCTTGCACACCATTTTTCTGGGTCCCTCCTCTCTCCTGCGGGTGAGGGGAGCACCCTGTTGCAACAGATCAATAAAGGCCAAGCCTACAGGCTGCTGTTTTGCTCCAAGTTATCCTGGTTGGTGTCTTTGTTTTTTGTCCAAGGGAGCCCTCAGATTTTTCCGTTAACATTTCCCACTCTGGATATTAGCCCCATAACTGTAGGTGAGGGCCTTCCTTCAGTTAGGCAATTCCTCCCAAAAGGAGGCTTTACCCTGTGGACCTAAGAGCTGAACAAAATGTAAATTATCCATTCTGTATTTCTGCCGCAGGTTTCACTCTGTTGCTGATTGTTGTTATTATTCTGGTTATCCTTGCAAGGCAGAAGAGTTGCCTGTTGCTGGTGAACCGTGCTACGAATGCCTAACTACGTCCCTTTATCACTGCGGCATCTAAAAATTCCCAGTGAGTTGCAGATTTAATCTTGCTGTATTCCCGCAAAGCGGGGAAGTATTGCACAGGTCAGAAACACTGGTATTCCAAAATGCGTGTAACAGGCACGCGGCCCGTGTGAGAATTCAGAATTTATTTAGAATCTCATATTTAAAACAATTGCCACTCTCCAGTTCTGTTTTTCGTAATGGAATATAACTTATGTGGCTTTAAAAGAATGAACACGGCTGTCTGACTTGGCTTGCATTGCTTATCCTGACCCAAACACAGAATGCAGTGGTGCCCCGCAAGACGAATGCCTCGCAAGACGGAAAACCCACTAGACGAAAGGGTTTTCCGTTTTGGAGGTGCTTCGCAAAACGAATTTCCTATGGGCTTGCTTCGCAAGACGAAAATGTCTTGCGAGTTCCTGCGGGGTTTTTTTCCTTTTAGCCCCCTTTTCCCAAGCCGCTAAACCGCTTATCAGCTGATGGCTAAGCCGCTTAACAGCTGATCGCTAAGCCGCTTATCAGCTGATCGTTAAGCCGCTTATCAGCTGATCTTTAAGCCGCTTAACAGCTGATCGCTAAGCCGCTTATCAGCTGATCCGCTAAGCCGCTAAGCCGCTAATACTGTAGCGCTAATCTGCTAAACCGCTAATGGGCTTGCTTCGCAAGACGAAAAAGCCCGCAAGACGAAGAGACTTGCAGAACGGATTCTTTTCGTCTTGCGAGGCACCACTGTACTGAGCTTTTTAACTAGGCGGTGAGAGGGAGCCTCAGGAATGGTGAGAGGGAGCCTCAGTTCTGGTTCAGGTGGGCCAAGGGTTAAAGGGGCAGATGATGTGGTTAAGGACAGGCTCAGTGCAAGAGTCCAGATCAAGCAAACATGAAACCCAAACCAGGAGATGTGGTCATCATGGCCATTCATGGTCAAGGAGACCAGGTCAGGTCTCCATGTTGCCATCAGGTGCTCAGACTAAGGCACCAGGTTTGCAGCAAGAGTTACATAGGGCTCTTCCAGATACAGGGGTACCTCGGGTTACATACGCTTCAGGTTACATACGCTTCAGGTTACAGACTCCGCTAACCCAGAAATAGTGCTTCAGGTTAAAAACTTTGCTTCAGGATAAGAACAGAAATCGTGCTCCGGCGGCGTGACAGCAGCAGGAGGCCCCATTAGCTAAAGTGGTGCTTCAGGTTAAGAACAGTTTCAGGTTAAGTACGGACCTCCGGAACGAATTAAGTACTTAACCCAAGGTACCACTGTACAGAATTTGTAACATTGGAGTTTGCAGGGTTCCTCGTCCCCTGCCTGCTGGATTTTTCTGCATGCTTCCACATGATGTCATTATCATTCCACTGTGATTCTGGAGTATTCTAGTCGTCAAACTGCTTTTTCTTCTGTCACAAAAAAACCCCACAACATTTGCGAAAGATCCAGAACAGTTGTGCCGTATTTCCATTGCATGGGGGCTGTTTTCCATAATTTCCTGCATTTGTGTAGAGTTCGGGGTGTTTGGTGTGAATGACTTCTGTTTCATGCCTTTCCCCTTGATTGGCACCTTTTTAAAAACAACAACAACAGCCAGGTTTGTTGTTTGTTTGTTTTTGTCCATAGCTCAGACCAAAACAGGGAAATCAATATGTTTCAAACATCTAATCTCCCTCATGAACAGAATGCCAGCTGTTAACTACTACAACAACCAATGACGCAAAGCTATTACCCAGAGTCCTGAAACAGGGCAAGAAAGGAATCTTCTAGGGCTGGTTGACATGAAAGGTGATCCAACCAAAAGAGCATCTTAAATCCACACAGCCTCCATTGAAACAAACAGCACCAGGGGGGTAGGAACAGTTCTGCAGTAGGAACCTTCCATACCAGGATTCCTGTTTGAGAGGGGCCAGAGCTGGTGAACACCTGCCTTTACTTCCCAAAGGTCTGAGGTTCAATTTCCATTATCACCAGTTGGAAGGACCAGGGAGCAGGTTAGACTAGGGTTACCAGATGTCCCCGGTTCCGGGGACAGTCCCTAGATTTGCAAATCTGTCCCCGGGAAACGTGGCAGTGGCAGCCTCAGCAGCCTGCAGCCAGCCTGGTAGCGGAGTTGGCTCTGGCTGGCTTCAGGAGCTGCTCGCTGCTGTGGCACCCGCCATTTTCCCTCGCTGTAAGTCCCCATATGATGTGTTGCACACAAGACACATTACAGTGGTACCTCGGGTTAAGTACTTAATTCGTTCCGGAGGTCCATTCTTAACCTGAAACTGTTCTTGGCTAATGGGGCCTCCTGCTGCCGCCGCGCGATTTCTGTTCTCATCCTGAAGCAAAGTTCTTAACCCGAGGTACTATTTCTGGGTTAGTGGAGTCTGTAAACTGAAGCATATGTAACCTGAAGCATATGTAACCCGAGGTACCACTGTATATGGGGACTTCCGGTGAGGAAAAATGGGTGCCACGGCGGCAGGCAGCAAGCAGCTCCTGAAGCCAGCCAGAATTGTCCGGGCTGCTGACTGACGCTGACGCCGCCACAGCCGAAGGGGAACCAGGGACGTCCAGCGGTACAGATCTCCTCCCCCCTCCCCCCTTTGTTTTAACTGATTGGGGGAGGCTCAGGAGTTGAGGCCAGCTGGCCATTGCCCAATTTTTAAAAGACTCTGTGCATTTATGTTTCACAGGGTGCGAAAGAAGGGCTTTGCACTTTGCCTGGCAGAGAAACTGCAGGCTTTGCACCCCTCCTGGGCAACGGCCGCCTGCCCACGACTCCCGAGCCTCCCCTGATCTCCTGCCCCCTTCTGTCAAAACAAAGGGGGAAGGGGGCAGGAGATCGGGGAAGGCTCGGGAGTCACAGATGGGCAGTGCGCTGTTGCCCAGTTTTTAAAAACTCTGCGCATTTATGTTTCACAGGGTGCAAAAGAGGGGCTTTGCACCTTTATACGATATGCATGTGTGCTTGGGACCAGGGTCTTTTGCCTCAACATCCCCACTGCTGACTCCCTGTTGCTACTCAGCTTCAAAAAAAAAAAGTGTCCCCGGATTCATTGAAAAAAATCTGGTAACCATAGGTTAGACAATACTGGGCTAGATAAACAAATGATGTAATCCAGTATAAGGCAGCTGTCCGTGGCTAATAATAATAATAATAATTTTATTATTTATATTCCCCCCCCTCCCCCAAAAAAAAATCTGGCTGGGTTTCCCCAGCCACTCTGGGCAGCTTACGGCAAATATAAAAGCATAATAAAAAATCAAACATTTTAAAAATCAGAATATCTTATACAGACTATAAATAAACCAATAAACCAATACAAACTAACAACAACAATAAACAGTTTACAGTTATGTCCAGTGCTTTTTTTTCTGGGGGGACGCATTCCCCCAAACATTTTATGAATCTTTATACTTTTGTCCATTGTATTTATTTTTCCCTATTTGAACTACAAAATGGTGAATTTCTTGAGTCAAAATGAGAGTACCCCTAAACATTTTTTATAGAAAAAAAAAGCACTGGTTATACCCAAATTAAAATAACCGCCAACCCCAACTAAACATTTAACCAACCCCAACCCGACGAAAACAAAACAGAGGAACCGAAATTAAAGCCTTTTAAAACATTTTAAAACATTTTAGCCAGTTGCCCCAGCCCAAGAGTTGTTCCAGCAAAGACCCAATGGCCTCCCAGGATCCTTTTTCAGCCGTTCTGGTGAGTGTGGGCCCCACCCCATAGGGCAGGTAGAAATGGGCCTTGCAACAGGGAGCAGGTCTTCCTTCCATCACTCATGGTGGCAGCAGCAGCAGCAGCGAGTCCCATTGAACTGAAGGTGGTTTACTCCTAGGTAAGGGTGCACGCTGTGGGTTAAACCACAGAGCCTAGGGCTTGCCGATTGGAAGGTCAGCGGTTTGAATTCCCGCGATGGGGTGAGCTCCCGTTGCTCGGTCCCTGCTTCTGCCAACCTAGCAGTTTGAAAGCACATCAAGTGCAAGTAGATAAATAGGTACCGCTCCAGCGGGAAGGTAAACAGCGTTTGCGTGCGCTGCTCTGGTTCGCCAGAAGTGGCTTAGTCATGCTGGCCACATGACCTGGAAGCTGTACGCCGGCTCCCTCGGCCAATAAAGTGAGATGAGCACCGCAACCCCAGAGTCGGCCACGACTGGACCTAATGGTCAGGGGTCCCTTTACTTTACCTTTAGCCTGCAGCTACAATTCTGCAGCTGTGGGTAAGTCTGTGCAGATCTCTTTGCAAGCTGCCTGTGTGTATTTATAGAGCCAGGGCTGCCAGCTGTTGCATGCTAACAGTACAAACCACTAGTATTTATTGATTCTCTCCTCTTTCAAAATTCCCAGTGCACATTATCATACAGAATAATGGCATTTGCTTCTCCCTCTCGCTGGACTTTCAATCATTTCTTCTCCTTCTTTTTTAAAGTCTTCTGTTTGTTTATGCAGCTCTACGCAAAAATTGGACAAGCTATTGGGAAAGCAGAGGTGTTTGTATATTTGAAGTTGTTGGGGGTTTTTTTTGTTTGTTTTAAAGCAGCACTCAACTCCATATAGCATTTCCTTCTCCAGTAAGCATATTCTCTGAAGACCGTTTTCTTCACTTAAAACGTTTGTTCTGGTATTCCGAGCTTCTCAAATAGAGGATAAAGACCTCTTACCCCCTAGATGCAAATAGAAAAGGGGGTCTAACCACAGCCATTTAAAATAAACGCATCCTAGCAGTGACTTTCAGTGATTCATTTTGAGGGGGAAGGAGGGCTGGTAATGTTTTTGTTCCAAGTATAGTGGTACCTCGGGTTAAGTTCTTAATTTGTTCCGGAGGTCCGTTATTAACCTGAAACTGTTCTTAAATTGAAGCACCACTTTAGCTAATGGGGCCTCCTGCTGCTGCCATGCCGCCAGAGCACGATTTCTGTTCTCATCCTGAAGCAAAGTTCTTAACCCAAGGTACTATTTCTGGGTTAGTGGTGTCTGTAATCTGAAGCATATGTAACCTGAAGCTTATGTAACCTGAGGTACCACTGTACAGTAAGAACTTTGCTTCAGGATGAGAACAGAAATCATGCAGCGGGGGCACAGCGGCCCCATTAGCTAAAATGGTGCTTCAGGTTAAGAACAGTTTCCGGTTAAGAACGGACCTCCAGAACAAATTAAGTTCTTAACCCAAGGTACCACTGTATATGATGGTGAGAGGAACAGTAATAATTCTTAGAAGGGGAGATTTGCAATCTGGTTTCAAATCCCCATTCAACAGGGATGCCATCTACAGGGGGCCATGGGGCCCAGTCCCCTGAATATTTTGGGGGCCACCCCCCCCAATTCCACAGCGATTCTCAAATGTATGTGCCAGAACAATTTCTTTTTATTACTCTTGTAATAAAAATGGTTATTTAGGGGATTTGAATTTAATTCTAAATTATATACCGGAAACGTGGGAGATTACAAGGGGTCAAAAAAAAACGGATGTATCGCGCCATACTAGAAGCAAAAAAACTTGTCTTGATGAATTGGAAGAGCTGCAAAAAGATCCAATTGAGCACATGGATTGACAATATTGACTAGTTACCTACGAACGAATCGCATATAGATGCAAATTAAGAATGGATAAATATAAAGAAATCTGGAAGGAATACTTAAGCGATAAGGCAGACAGTGGTGGGAATTAGGGGGAGGAGAGGTGGGGAAATATTGTTAAAAAGGTGTAGTTATAGGTATATCAGTACTCAAATCTGAATTGTTAAATTGTGTTATTTGTGTTGTTGTGGTTTTTGTTGTATATGGTTTTTGTTGTTGTTGTTTGTATTGAAAAAGTGATTAAATATATATATATATATTTAAAGTATGTGCCAGAACGATGTTGCTTGGCCTTGTCGTGCCATTTTGAGGCTTGCCAAGGACGCTGCAGGACAGAGCATTCCTTTGATGATTGTTAAAGTGCCTTCTTGGAAGACGTGCTGGCGATCTCTGCCAGCAGGGGTGCCAACTTGAATAAAATATAGTGAGCGCCCAGGTAAGCCCTGCCTCACATAATCAATCACATGACGTAGTGACCCCCCCACTTGAATAGGAATGCCGGGTTGGGCGGGGCATTGTGTGTGTGATGTCATACATGCGCTATGCCCCCCCCCCCGCAATGTTGGGCACAACTCGGCACCTATGCCATTCAACAATACAAATTTCTTATAAGGAAATACCGTATTTTTCGCTCTATAAGACGCACCAGACCACAAGACGCGCCTAGTTTTTGGAGGAGGAAAACAAGAAAAAAAATATTCTGAATCTCAGAAGCCAGAACAGCAAGAGGGACCGCTGCGCAGTGAAAGCAGCAATCCCTCTTGCTGTTCTGGCTTCTGGGATAGCTGCGCAGCCTGCATTTGCTCCATAAGACGCACACACCTTTCCCCTTACTTTTTAGGAGGGAAAAAGTGAGTCTTATGGAGCAAAAAATACGGTATGTTTTCTCATTGTCCTCAGTGCCAGATTTACATATAAGCTAAACAAACCATAGCTTAGAGTCCCACTCTCTTGGGGGGCCCCCAAAAAATTTTTAAAGGAAAAAAAGACTGGATGTACATTTCCAAAATATAAGATAAAAAACAAATAAAATAAGACCTACATACAGCAACAGTGTTTTGTGTTGTGTAGGCTTCTATTTGTTATGTGCAAATGGCTTTAGATACCTATTAGGTCCATAAATTACTATATAGCATATATTCAACACAAAAAACAGTGATAATTTGTTGTTGACAAAGGACAGCTGGACATATAAAGGGCCCCATTACCTTCAGTAACTTAGGGCCTCTGGCCCTGATATTGAAAGTTTTTTGGCAGAAGGTAACTGAAACTTTCAACAGAACTGTATCAACAACCTTACATTTACAGAGCAAAATATCCTCTTGAATTATATACCCAGCACATGGAACGTTACAAAAGGACAATGCAAGTGCCCTTACCACAGCAAAAAGACTGATACTGATGAATTGGAAAAATAAAAATGTGGCTCCTTTCTATGATTGGATTGAAGATCGCAACATATAAACAACTTGCATATAAATGCAGGCTTGCCATGGACAAATTCAACGATACTTGGAATCCATTCTAACAAATACTGTAATAGGTTAAGATCTGGTGAAGTACAGTAACAACTTTGTAAAATAATAAAAATAAAAATAAAATAAGGACGTACAGTGGTACCTCGGGTTAAGTACTTAATTCGTTCCGGAGGTCCGTTCTTAACCTGAAACTGTTCTTAACCTGAAGCACTATTTCTGGGTTAGCGGAGTCTGTAACCTGAAGCGTATGTAACCTGAAGTGTATGTAACCCGAGGTACCACTGTATGTGTAAAAGTGTAGCACAGTACTGTGCCCTCCAACACCTGCGTACCTCCACCCACAAAAGTTCTCAGAAAATATACATTTTGTATTTTTGCCACACACCCACTAAACTGTGTTGGAAAAGGGGAACTTGATGGAGAAGGTTGGGCAGGTATTTTAGTCTTCGCTTACAGGAGAGCTGCCCAAGATGACATTCGCAGGTGACTCTTGTCTTCGGACGTGTATTGCCACCCAAGAGCTGTGTGATGTAGGTGTGGTGAAGAACTGGTGGTCCTTCAGAGAGCCAGTGTGGTGTAGTGGTTAAGAGCGGTAGACTCGTAATCTGGGGAACTGGGTTTGTGTCTCCGCTCCTCTACATGCAGCTGCTGGGTGACCTTGGGCCAGTCACACTTCTCTGAAGTCTCTCAGCTCCACTCACCTCACCGAGTGTTTGTTGTGGGGGAGGAAGGGAAAGGAGGATGTTAGCCGCTTTGAGACTCCTTCGGGTAGTGATAAAGCGGGATATCAAATCCAAACTACTACTCTTCTTCTTCTTCTTCTTCTTCTTCTTCTTCTTCTTCTTCTTCTTCTTCTTCTTCAGATATTGCTCTACTCCAGCTCCCTTCCTCCTTGACCTTTGGCCATGCTGGTTGGGGCTGATGGGAAGTGGAGCCCGACAACTTCCAGGTCATGTGGCCAGCATGACTAAGCCGCTTCTGGCGAACCAGAGCAGCGCACGGAAACGCCGTTTACCTTCCCGCCAGAATGGTACCTATTTATCTACTTGCACTTTGACGTGCTTTCGAACTGCTAGGTGGGCAGGAGCAGGGACCGAGCAACGGGAGCTCACCCCGTTGCGGGGATTCAAACCACCGACCTTCTGATCGGCAAGTCCTAGGCTCTGTGGTTTAACCCACAGCGCCTCCCACGTCCCTATTTGAAGTCTAGGACCTGTCACCAAAATCACATACAATTCCACCCTGAGGAGGCTCGGTTCACTTAGCTTATTCTCTTGTGTTTCCTGGGCCAGCTTTTGTGGACATTTTGACCAAATATGCACTCAAAACAAAATTCAGACATTTGACTCTGTATTGTGGCTTTCTTTGTGCGTAGCTCACTCTTTTATGGTAATCAAATGTCCTGCCAACATTTTCTGCAGCTATGTACACCAGCAAAGGGAACCAGATGCTTCTTGTTTTCCTTCGAAATATATATCAGTGTTGGTTTTGTTTAGTGTTTCAGAGGATTGGCGAAAAGACAGCCTTTAATAAGCCTAGGCTGCATTGCCCTGTGTTTCCCAATGTACTAATAGTTTTGGCTGCAGCTCCTCATCTTGATTTAAAATCTGTCCTCATCTCTCATACAAATGAGCCTCTCAAAAAATAAAAAACAGGCCGGTTTAATTCATCTCACGTGTTTAACTTAGTTTTCATTCAGAATAGATGGTTCCATTTTTAAACAGGAAGGGGATGTGGAAAGTAACTAAGTTTCAGCTTTCTTTCTTTCTTTTCTTTTTTGCACACATAAGCCAATCAGAGATGGAGAGATGGAAAATTATTTGGCCCTCTTTAGGTTTAATGTTTGCTCCAAACAGCAGAAGGCTTTGAAAGAAGCTGCAACAGTATCTAAGGAGATGCCATGTTCTTCTGTCCTAGTTTGTGGTCAGAGAGCTTCCTTGTCAATCAACTGTTGTGTGTAAATCCTATCTTGTCATCACTAGCTGAAAGATTCGGTGGGTTGTGTTTTTTTTTTAATCCATTGGAAAGGGTGTGTGTGCAGTGATATTTCCTGAGATATACAACACATCCCTAGGGAAAACGACACCATATCCTGATCTTTATCCTAAAAGTAGTCTCCTGAATCTGAATCCCATTTCAGTTATTCCCATTTTACAGATGAAGAACCGAGGCTGAGAAGTGCAGCTTGCCCAAAAGCTATCTACTGAATCAACAGCTGAAAATGAGTCGGTGGATTCAAACTCAAATCAATACCATGGTTAGCTTTTCCACCACATTGGAACAAGCCATTAAACAACAACAACAACAATTTATGCATCCTTTTCACTAGTTAGAAATTTGACATAAGTTTGAGGGGAGTCTAAACACTTTGGGACCCTTGGGGTGCCAATTCTACCTTTTTCTGGCTCTATTAAAGGTAAAGGGACCCCTGACCATTAGGTCCAGTTGTGGCCGACTAAGCCGCTTCTGGCGAACCAGAGCAGCGCACGGAAACGCCGTTTACCTTCCTGCCAGAGTGGTACCTATTTATCTACTTGCACTTTGACGTGCTTTCAAACTGCTAGGTTGGCAGGAGCAGGGACCGAGCAATGGGAGCTCACCCCGTCGCAGGGATTCGAACTGCCAACCTTCTGATCAGCAAGTCCTAGGCTCTGTGGTTTAACCCTGGCTCTATGACCATGCCTTTAAAAGCCACATGATACCTGGAAGCATAGCAGGTGAAGCTATTCCCATCGGATCTTCATGTCTGTAGAAACATCACCTGCTGAATGTCTGGTTATTTGGTTATCTGCTAATGGCACGGGAGCAGGTCTAGTTTTTCAGCCTAGGATTTGTGCAAGTTGCCTCACAGGGAACAACCTGGGGGAGAGAGAGAGAGACAGAGGAGAAGCTTTCTATTTTCCTCCAAGAAAGCAGGCATACACAACTGCAACTGATCTGTTCCAGTTCAGTTACGAGTCAAAGAGCGGAAAGATTTTAACTTCAAACGGAGCCATTAGGGTCACCTCCTCCATCTGATCTCCAAACCGATCTTTTCAGTTTCTTCTAAATGATTTCAGCATTCCATTCGGCCCACCCAAGACCCAAGAGAGCATAAACAGTGGCTGCTCCCCTGGAAGAAGAGGGCATCTTTGAAGGGCAAAGCCATCTCTTTCGTAGACATTCCAGGGCTCCCTCCTGCCCAACACCTTCATCTTTCCTTTTCTGAATAGTCAGCAGGGACATCTCCCACATCCTGACTTCTACGGGTCATTGCTCAGCCTAACTCGAATGTCCTGCAACGTTATGAAGTGCTGGTGGAGCCTGTGGTTTGTGGTGTGGCCTCGCATGCTCCTGCCCCATTGCTGCAGCTCGTTGTGGGTGCCTTCTGCCTGCGAAGGACTGGCTGGATGAGGAAGAGTAGTGGGTGCTGCCTGCCCAAGAGCCTGAAATAAAAAAATTAAGGTCATATATATACACCGTATTTTTCGCTCTATAAGACGCACCAGACCACAAGACGCACCTAGTTTTTGGAGGAGGAAAACAAGAAAAAAAATATTCTGAATCTCAGAAGCCAGAACAGCAAGAGGGATCGCTGCGCAGTGAAAGCAGCAATCCCTCTTGCTGTTCTGGCTTCTGGGATAGCTGCGCAGCCTGCATTCGCTCCATAAGACGCACACACATTTCCCCTTACTTTTCAGGAGGGAAAAAGTGAGTCTTATAGAGCAAAAAATACGGTATATAAAATAAATGTTCATAACTGCACATATAAACCACATGTCTGAAACCCCACAGAAAAAGTCCTGAAGCCATTTTGTCCCTCCCAAATTGACCTCAAATATTTCTATGCAAGGTCGAAGGAAAATGGAAAAGCCTCCCCATTGTCTTCTTGTTCACAAATCCTGTCTTAAGGGCATGTCTGTGTATGAATAGGGTGAGCCTGTGACTTGGCTCAGGAACTAAGTATTTGTCATTACAAAAGACTGGCCAGGCTTCCCAGGTAATCCAATCAAGTGACCATTAACAGGTAACCTGCCAGACAGGAGAGAAACAAAGCACTCAGATTTCTGTTGTAGACCGCCCTTTCTATGATGTAGGTATGATGTATCTGGGGGGTGGTCTTGAGCTACACCCTTTCTGTGATGTATGTATGATGTTTCTAGGGATGGTCTTGGACTCCAGGGCAGGCAATTTAAAATGTCTATATAAGGGCAGACACACCTTGGTTCTGGGTCCTCCTCCTTTCCTGCATGTGAGGGGAGCACCCTGTTGCAACAGTTCAATAAAGATCAGGCTTACTAGCTGCTTTGCTTCTCAATATTCTCTGGTTGGCCTCTGTTATTTTCTCTGACCGATGGAGAACCTACAAAGGACCCTATAAGGACTCTTGTGTCCCCCATAAGGGAATAAGGGCAGATTTTTGTTTATTACAAGCCCCCCAGGAATGACTTTAACTTTTCACAGTCAGAATTTGGGGGGAGGGGAGTGCAGCTTATATTTGGGCCAATATGGTAATTACTATTTCCCTCGCATATTTCGCTTTTCATTTTAGATGATGAAATAGAACTGGTTGTGCTCTTTAAAAAAAAAAGGAACAAAAATAATAGAGAAAATAAGTTATGAAAGTTTTCCCTGGGGGAACAGAATATTCATCACTAATCCCCCAAGCAATGATAATTGGGAAGCAAGAAAGCAAGCAGGATGTTAATTTAACATTGAGTAGCCAACAACAACAGTAAATGGCAACTGGAAGTAAAGATTATAGCAGGACCTTGCCCACAAGGAGAAGTTCTGCTGGATATTATAGCTCCATATTACCGTATTTTTCGCTCTATAAGATGCACCAGACCACAAGACGCACCTAGTTTTTGGAGGAGGAAAACAAGAAAAAAAATATTCTGAATCTCAGAAGCCAGAACAGCAAGAGGGATCGCTGCGCAGCGAAAGCAGCAATCAATCCCTCCGGCTGTTCTGGCTTCTGGGATAGCTGCGCAGCCTGCATTCGCACCATAAGACGCACACACATTTCCCCTTACTTTTTAGGAGGGAAAAAGTGAGTCTTATAGAGCAAAAAATACGGTAAGTGCTGTATGGAATCTCTGCTTTAATTTCCCTTTCTGCTTTAATTCTGCTTTATGAAAAAGCAAGGCCTCAGCTTTCCCCAAGGGCTGCAGCGTGGAAGGAGCCTTAGAAATCCTGAGGCACCATCTTGACGATTCAGCAATTAAAACCAAGCCAAGGCAGCCCGAGACATTTTGACGTGTGGGTTGGAAAATTCAAATGCTTTGGTCTTTAGAAATATACAACTATAAACTAAGCAGTGGCCCATTCGCTCCCCTTCCCTTGTTCTGCAGAATCCGCTGCTTTACTGTATCTAATTGGAGGATCACCTCTGAAACCTGGAGATCTTGAAGATAGCTTTTGCAAACAAGTGAGGGCCGAGGACAGATTTAGCACTTCAAAGAGCAAGTGCCATTAAAAAGGGAAATAATTCACAGATTTGTCACAGAAGCCTAACCATAATTGGCTTGATTTAAGGGTCCTCACTATGAGAACATTTCCAAAACTTTATTCTTAAATACCAAGGCAACTGGGCCATTTTTCTTCCTTCCATCTGCACTTTATTTATAATGGCTTCCCACAAGCCCTTCTTTTCTTCCCTCCATTTTTTTTCAACTAGCCTTTTTTTTCCCTAGAGAGGGTTCGACTTTGCGTTCATTTTCTGTTTGAGATTTATAAACATTGTCAAGAATTCCAGTTGCTGATCTTCTCGGTGACACTTTCCGCAAACCAGATTCATTGCTGTTCTTAAGGATCCCTTAATATTTTAATGCTCAAAATGATAAATTTCTGGTTTCCATAAGCTTCGTCCCTCCACAGACCTTTGAGGGGCTGAAGTAGGCCCCTTCACTTCTTGTGCTGTGATTTGTGGCTATTTTCATAAATTACTATGGATTTTGAAATATACTCTGAGTCGAGAGTGGATTTCATGCTCTTTATTCAGCTCATAGTGGTGAGGAGGGAATGAAAGTCTCCCCACAGTATCTGCTTTATATACATTATTGACACAATGGGCTGCATGTGATTGGCTAATTCCGGAATTCTCCTGTAGGCCAATCAGGTTGTGGATTCACGTCCACCTGGAGCTGGATTGGGTGGTTCCTGCAGACCAATCATACTGCTGCATTGTTCTAGGACCAATCAGACTGCTGCAATTTTGGATCCTATTCAACACAGTACATTGCAGATTTGTTCGGTGTATAGTTGGCCAAAAGAGGGAAAGGCGAGTTGTTGTTGTTTTGTTGTTTTTTTTAAAAAATACTCTCTCATGATCCATGATCCACGAAGAAATAAAGAAAATATTAAGAATATCATATAGTAAAAGGCCAGAGGCATTCCTTTTAGGAATTTTAAATGACGATATTCCAAAATACAAAACTAAATTTTTCTTATACGCAACGTCTGCAGCAAGAATCCTGGTGGCTAAATATTGGAAAGGGAATGAGTTACCCACTAGGGGAGAGTGGTTATGTAAGCTTTCAGAATACTTAGAATTAGCCAGATTGACAGACATAGTAAGACAACAACCAAAAAGTGAAGTAGAAAAAGAATGGGGGTGCCTAAATGAATACCTCAAAAGTCAAGGTTCGAGGACAGAAATCTGGCTGAGCCTGGAATAACCTTGTGAAGTGAAAGGATATGAAAGAGGGATTTACATCTAGATGTTAGGATAGAGATGATAATGAAAACAGGAAAACAGGAAGACACAATGAGAGATAAAGGAGGTGCTGTGGGATTGGTGGAAGTCAATGTCTTGTTGTTGTTTTAGTGTTTATAATATTAACTTGTAAGATATGGATTTATTTATTTTTGTTTGTTGCTTTTTTAGTTTTCGAATGTCGATTTTTGTGTGTTGTGTACTGTTATTTTTCGATATCTTTCGTGTTGTTGTTGTTGTGCGGAAAATACTAATAAAATTAAATTATTTTTTTTAAAAAATACTCTCTCACACACTCATACACCAAGTGCTACAAATTAATTTTGTTTCCTATATGCACAGACAACTCCTCATAACTTGACAAGGAATGACATTGCCCCCTCCTTCCAAGCTATGATTTGCTGAAGCCTTGTTGCGCTTAAATTTTTTTTTATCACAAAGAGGGCTTGGAAAATCTGGCTTTACAGCTGCCTAACTTCATTTTTTAATAAATGCATCCCAAGCTTACGGTTTCCCCCTCTGATGTCAGCTAAGGGATATGTAAAGAAACACACACTCTCTGTCTCCTCTCCTCTGTCTGAAATGTATGTGGCCTTTTACTAAAGTTGCCCTTGTTTCTATCTAGGGTAAGAGATGCTTTGGCTTTTAGAAACTTTTTTCACGCTGTGAGTTAATAAAGCTTCTCCATCGAAGAGGCCTGGGAAGGAAATGATGGTCAGGATTTTGTGCTACAATGGTGGATTATTGCTGAGCTATAAAGAACTCTTCAGCCCAACCTTTCGTGTCTTTCTAAAATATGGCTTTGAAGTTTGCTTGGCTGTCACTGCCCTTGAAGGAAACGAAAGGGTATCGTCACCTCAGCTTCCTTATTCAGCACTGCCTGGGCATTGCATGTGAGATAAATATGCTTCATAGGCCTATCTTTTGCAGAGCAACCCGGAACGTCCTGTGATATGACCTACGGTTTGTGCTGAGGCCAACATCTGCATACAAAATGTTGTCAGGGTGGCACAGTCTTCGATTTGCAAGGTGTGTGTGGATTTCCTCTAGGGACTAGTCTAGATAGATGATAGCTCAGTTTGTAGAGCATGAGACTCTTAACCTCAGGATTGTGGGTTCGAGCCCCATGCTGGGCAAAAGATTCCTGCATTGCGGGAGGTTGTTGTTGTTGGAGGTTATAATAATAATAATAATATATGCATTGCAGGAGCTTGTCATCATCATCATCATTATTATTATGGAGGTTATAATAATAATAATAAAAAAAATAAAATATGCATTGCAGGTCCTGCCAACCTAGCAGTTAGCAAGCACATCAAGTGCAGGTAGATAAATAGGTACCACTCTGGCAGGAAGGTAAATGGCGTTTCCGTGCGCTGCTCTGGTTCGCCAGAAGCGGCTTAGTCATGCTGGCCACATGACCCAGAAGCTGTACGCCGGCTCTAACATTTCTCAAATGAAAATAGGGACGTCCTACGGAAAAGTGGGACGTTCTGGGATCAAATCAGAAACCAGGGCGGCTTCTCACCCCAACTCACCCCAACTTCGGCTTAGACTCACTCTGACCCCTTATATGGGATTTGGTATATAAATTTTCCCTTGGCTTTTTTGCTGGCCCATGTAGGACCAGCATGAATAGCTGGCTCAGGAGAATATCTGATGTTTCCTCCCTTTATGGTCTTGATTTATGGGCTACTCCTGCCAACCTAGCAGTTCGAAAGCACGTCTAAGTGCAAGTAGATAAATAGGTACCGCTCCAGTGGGAAGGTAAATGGCGTTTCCGTGCGCTTCTCTGGTTCGCCAGAAGCAGCTTAGTCATGCTGGCCACATGACCCGGAAGCTGTATGCCGGCTCCCTTGGCCAATAAAGCGAGATGAGCGCCGCAACCCCAGAGTCGGTCACGACTGGACCTAATGGACAGGGGTCCCTTTACCTTTTTATGCACTGAAGGAAGTTGTTGTTGTTGTTGTTATTGTTATTATTATTATTATAATTTATAAGGTTGGACTAGATGACCCTTGTGGTCCTTTCCAACTCTACAGGTCTAAGAATGAAACAATAATCCACTGAGGAGCAGTGATGGACTTGTAGAATTTGTCTAACCAAAGCGGCTGTGGCTCCCCTATTTATTTCAACTGTTGTAACAGATCTGTGTGTCCACCCTATTGCTGCTCGGAGTTCTTTTCTTCTCTTTGAAATGAATGAGGTAAAAGCACAGAGTGGTAAGGGGCCTTGCAGTCCCAGGTCCTTATCAGTGTGCAATTCCACAGTTACGGCGTCTCCAATCGACGGCTGCTCAGTTACTGCTTGGAGACCTCCAGCAAACGACAGCGCATCACTCCTCTAGAAAATGGGTTCCGTCGTCAAGATGTTTTCCCCAGTGTTCACCCAAAATCTACCATCCTGTAACTTAAATCCACCCAGTCTGGGGCAGCAGAAAACCAGTATTTTCCCTCTTCTATGTGCCAGCTTTGCCACATGGGGTGTGAGGCCCAGCCCAAGGCATTTTGTTTTCTGTACCACAATAGGAAATGGCACCACCCATGTCAAGTCGAGGTGCATAGTCCCCAAAGCTGTCCAAACTATTTTGGCTGCTGAGACAGAAAATCCCACAAGAGCTTCTTCCCAGCGTGAACACGCCCTGTTCCCCCCGCCTTCCCTCATAAGGCACGTTTATTTCAGACTTCAGACCATCTTTGTTGTTCTTTCCCAGACTCATTTCAATTTGCGTGTGTTCCTGCTCAAATGTGCCACCCGGAACTCAGCGCGTTACTCCGGGTGAGATCTCACGAGCGCAGAATAAAATGGAATTATTATTCCTTGTGATTTGGAAGTGACGGTTCGACTCGTGGAGCATAAAATTGCATTAGCCTTGTTTGCAGGCACATCACACTGCTGGCTCATGTTCCACTCGCGGCTGACTTCAATTTGAGGTCCTTTCCCCATGCGCTGCTGCTAAGCTAGGCACCCCACACCCTACGGCTGTGTGCTTTGTTATTTATTTTAAAATGCTGTGTGGGAAGGGTTAAACGGTTTTCATTCTAAATAAAGAAGAAGAAAATATAAAACATCCCCTCCCCTTACTTTTCCACGGTCTGTTTGTTGCTTTCCTCATTTATCCGTGCAGTTGAAGCATAGAAACTTGAAAACAAGGAAAGGTGGCTGGGGGCAGAGCGCGCGCACACACACGACAATAAAGAAGTCATTGCAGATCAAGGGAAACAAACAGAAGCTTGGCAGATCAAGAGAGGGCTGCACCAAAGCAGCCAACCTCCCCCCACCCTCCTCAAAAAGCCAAAACAGTAGTTGGAGTGGAGGATATCAGTTACCAAGACAAGGGATTGCAGGGAGAGGAGGCCACTGGGGAGAGGAGAGGCAAGGGTGTTGCATTGTTCTTGCTTTGTTCTTCCGCGGATGTTCTTACAAGGGTTATTTTCCTCCATGGCCTGTTAAGCAGACAGCAAGATGAGAGAGCCAAGCCCAGCAGCAGTCGCAGGTCCCCATCCTTCATCCCTGCTCAAGGAGAATGATTGAACCAGGCACCGTATTTTTCGCTCCATAAGATGCACCCGACTATAAGACGCACACAAAAAATATTCTGAATCAAATGTTGTACTAAACTAATGCAGCAAAGTGGGCAGCTCCTGTCCGCTTTGCTGCTTTAAAGCGAGCCACGGAGGAGGGCCATAGCTCCCCTTCCTTCCCTCTGTGGCTCGCTTTAAAGCAGCAAAGCGGACAGGAGCCACTTACACATCCCTCCTCCATGCAGTATTCGCTTCATAAGACGCACAGACATTTCCCTTTACTTTTTAGGAGGAAAAAAGTGCATCTTATGGAGTGAAAAATACGGTACAGTGGTATCTTGGGTTACATGAGAGCCAGTGTGGTGTAGTGGTTAAGAGCGGTAGATTTGTAATCTGGTGAACCAGGTTCGCATCTCCGCTCCTCCACATGCTGGGTGACCTTGGGCCAGTCACACTTCTCTGAAGTCTCTCAGCCCCACTCACCTCACAGAGTGTTTGTTGTGGGGGAGGAAGGGAAAAGGAGATTGTTAGCTGCTTTGAGACTCCTTTGGGTAGTGATAAAGTGGGATATTAAATCCAAACTCCTCCTCCTCCTCCTCCTCTTCTTCTTCTTCTTCTTCTACGTACACTTCAGGTTACATACACTTCAGGTTACAGACACCACTAACCCATAAATATTACCTTGGGTTAAGAACTTTGCTTCAGGATGAGAACAGAAATCGTGCAGTGGCGGCACAGCATCAGCAGGAGGCCCCATTAGCTAAAGTGGTGCTTCAGGTTAAGAACAGTTTCAGGTTAAGAACAGACCTCCAGAACGAATTAAGTTCTTAACCCGAGGTACCACTGTACTTTAAAAAGGAGGCAGGATGCACATGAAAGGTCCACTGAACCAGGAAGCTGGCAGCTGACACACCAGTCAGATGAAACACCGCTGTCCAGCTATACTGAGCTCCTCCAGTGCTATAGGATTTGGGGTGTCCCCAACCCAATCACGGGGCCCGTCAATGCCCAGCCTCAGATACCATGCTGATGGCACTTGCTTGCTAGCCAATGAGATTCTTCGCACTAGTCTCTGTACCTGTTCTTTAGAGCGGTGTGGTTCTTTGCACATCATCATCTGGACTAGAGACCCAAGGGGTCGGTCGAAGCTCAACTCTGTCCGTCTTCACCTTTCTGTCTGTCCTGTTCAATCACTACCATTTATTTATCTTCTCTGCTGCTCCTTTGGTGCTATTGTTCCCTAGCTAATGCATCTTTCCCTCCCCTGGAGTGAACTGGGACAATCAGGAATCAAATGGGTAGCATGATGGTGTCATCCTGCTAGTACCACTGAGGGCAAGCAAAAGCAGTTTAGTGCACTTGTGTGATTTTTTTAAAGTAAATAGCAGCTGCAGGGGCCTGGGATAATAATAATAATAATAATAATAATAAGAAGAAGAAGAAGAAGAAGAAGAAGAAGAAGAAGAAGAAGAAGAAGTTATTATTTATACCCCGCCCATCTGGCTGAGTCTCCCCAGCCACTCTGGGCGGCTCCCAATCAAATGTTAAAAACAGTACAGCATTAAATATTAAAAACTTCCCTAAACAGGGCTGCCTTCAGATGTCTTTTAAAGATAGGATAACTGCTTATTTCCTTCACATCTGAAGGGAGGGTGTTCCACAGGGTGGGCGCCGCTACCGAGAAGGCCCTCTGTCTGGTTCCCTGTAAGCTCACTTCTCGCAATGAGGGAACCGCCAGATGAAACTTGCAAGGGCAAAGGGATAAAAAAATCCCATCGCTGCCCCCATGGTTTCAATGGCATTTATACAAGAACAACACAATGCATGAAAAACACCTCCTCTAGACTGTACACAGGCTTATTATCTGAGATCTTTTTCAACCAGTCAGTTAGAGGTTATGGAACCCTGACTCCTGCGCATGCAAAAGAAGTCCTCTGCTGCTGCTGATGCTGATCTATGGTCAGCCTTCTGCTCTGCAGGTTACTTTGCAAATAATTATGCCAGATAGATCCGGCTTCCCACCACCGCAGCACCCCATGGGTGCCACACAGTGAAAAATCCCACAATAGCTAATGTTGTTGTTGTTTAGTTGTTTAGTCGTGTCCAACTCTTCATGACCCCATGGACCAGAGCATACCAGGCACTCCTGTCTTCCACTGCCTCCCGCAGTTTGATCAAACTCATGTTCATAGCTTTGAGGACACTGTCCAACCATCTCATCTTCTGTGTTCCCCTTCTCCTTGTGCCCTCCATCTTTCCCAACATCAGGGTCTTTTCCAGGGAGTCTTCTCTTCTCATGAGGTGGCCAAAGTATTGGAGCCTCAGCTTCAGGATCTGTCCTTCCAGTGAGCACTCAGGGCTGATTTCCTTCAGAATGGATTGGTTTGATCTTCTTGCAGTCCATGGGACTCTCAAGAGTCTCCTCCAGCACCCAAATTCAAAAGCATCAATTCTTTGGCGATCAGCCTTCTTTATGGTCCAGCTCTCACTTCCATACATCACTACTGGGAAAACCATAGCTTTTACTATACGGACCTTTGTTGGCAAGGTGATGTCTCTACTTAAAAAACAACAGCTAATAGTTTTGGACTATTTGCCCCAGCCAGCAGGCGGCACAGCCAAGCGTCAGGGTAAGGAGAACTCTAGTCTGGGTTGGGTGACATCTAGGAGTAAGAGCCGAGCGCTGGCAATGTTTGTTTGATTCACCGGAATATTTGATAAGATTCCTTGCCTAGGTGTCAAGAAATTAATTAAAATGGGAACGCGACAAGATCTTAGGAGAGAATGAGTAGCGGCGAGTCATAGGCTGGTTTACCTGCTTGCACCTGCTGGCAATTAATTATGGCTTCATTCATTATGCTAGTCTTTGGGTTTTCATCCGTCCAGAATATTTTTCAAAGTTGTTTTTGTAAGAGGAAGTTGCGGGGGGGGGGGGGAGAGAGAAATACTCTCCTGTAAGATAAGATTATAAACAGTTTTTTAAAAAAGGAAGGAAGGAAGAATGGGTTTGTCAGACTGTAATCAGCTCTTGAGGGTGCTTTGGAAGAAACGGATCCCGGTCTCAGAGCAATCTGAACACAGAGAAATCACTTTCATTAAAACGTTAAGCCTTTGATTACCGTTGTATCGCATCAAATTGACTCCTATCATTTGGCAGCTGGTATTGGGAGGCTCTTGATAGCACAGCTATTTGTCCGTCCGTCCCCCCCCCCCCCCCCGACACACCTCCCAATGTAAAAGTACTGGCTGTGTGTGTGTGTGTTGGGGCAGAGGGGAAGAGATGCTGTGTTGGATCATTTCAAAATTTGCTTATTTATTTTGCCCCTTCCTCTCACAACCCCCTCCCCAAGAAAATAAAAAAAAAGCGACGCCAAGGAAAAGCCCGTTCCACCTTCTCAAGCTAAATGAAAAAGCTTTTAGGCTCCGTGAAGTGCGGGCCACTCTGCTCGGCGCATCACCTGAGCCGTATCCCGATCTATTAGACTTTAAACAGAGCCAGCCAACGCAGCTGCTTCGCCTCTTGTTTTTCTATTACCTGCTTTTTAGCTCTCCCCTATAGTGGAGGGGAATCTGGAGCCAAAGTGATTTACAGGCTGTTGCAGGAGGACAGGCCTGACATTGATTGAGTCACTTATCTCTCTTTTCTGTGGCCGGCCTGATGACAGCCTTCCCCGCAGGTATCAATCAGCGCATCAGTTCCCTGGGCCTAGGTGAGGGGGAGAGCTGCCAGGGTCGCATTTTGACTGTCATACTCATCTAAACTGCCAGCTGGCCCTCCTTGCTTAAGGAACCTCTCTCTTTGCCACACACATCGCCAGAGGAGGAGGATGGGGTGGGTGCAGAAACAGCGCTGCCCCACTTTCCGAGGCGACTCTTCCTCCTCTCTGGCTCTTGCTTTCCCAGATGTCTCCAAGTTAACGTGAATCTTCCTCTCTGCCACATCCGCCTGTCACGGCAATCTTAAGAAACCCACGTTGTAATTTGCACAAAATAGATGTGATTAAAGCTGGAGCTGGAGTCGAGGGGTGGCGGAGCACAGCGAGCGAGAGGCAGGAGGGAGGGAGAGGATGGGGAGGCGGAAATCTCTTGTTTACGTGCGTCTTGTCATAAGCCAAGCAAGTAAGATGATTAAAATAACCGCAAGTAACTGGTTCAGGATTTCTTCCCTGCTGATGAAGAAAGGCGCAGGGGGGGGGGGGGGGAAGCAGGCATGGAGGGAAGGACAGGGCGATGG